CATAGTTTTTTTTTTTTAAGAATATGAGTGAAATAATGCATATGAAGTGTGCATCAATATTCTTGAAGTGAGGCCTAGCTTATGGTAATGTTCATTAAACGTTGTATTGCTGTTGCTATTATTATGACTGTTATACATTTCTTATTCTCTTTAATGGTTTGATCAATCTTGCACTCTTACATCTGGTAATCTGAGCAACTTCGTTGAAGATAACAGAATTCCTATCATTTTGTTCTGAGGCCCTGTATCATTTTTATTGTTTTTGCTTTGTTTTTTTTTTTTCTATGTTGTTGGTATTTTGCTATTGTTATTTTTTATTAGTATTCTCCTTAAAAGAAAAAAAAGAAGATTGACACTGAGGAGGAGAAGATCAGATAAGTAGATTGCTAGTCTGGAAATAAGAGTGATCAAGGGTCCTTTTTGGTTGGTGGCGGTATAAAAGAATAAGATAAAAAATGTAGAAGAAAATTATTATTCCCATGACAGCAAAATTGATGACAAGTTACCAGGGCAAAGAGTACTGGCAAGGATGTGAAAGTCAAGTTATTGGATGGACTACTTTATATGTGTTTAGCAAGTATTATGGCATAGCATATGGTATGAAGAAGAAAAGTCATAAATTCTGAGGCTCAGGACACATCATACCCACGTGTGACTACAGGAGATCAGAATGCCATCCCCATATATTCCTCTTTGGCATATTGATTACTTCAAATTGGTTCTTTTGAGAAACTGCAGGCATTGGAGTAGCTCTGAAAATTCCTTCTTGGAATAATAAAATTGACATATATAAAGGAAATTTTCATCAGTAAAGGCATCTTTATTAAGAGGAGGGCTAATCTGAAAAGATCTGTCAGTTGAGGAACTGTTATCTGCCTAACAGGGAAACTTTTATTCACCATAAATTTTCTCTCCTCACTTTCCATATTTTGATTCCACTAACCATAGAAACCCCAGATCCTTAGTCCTTTCCGTAGTTTATGGTATATAAGCCTGAATCATCAGTTTCTTCTGTGAGTATTTTTGTGAGACTCTCCTGCATTGATATGTATATGATTAAAACAGCTCTTCTCCTATTAATCTGCTGAATCTCAGTTTAATTTGTAGCTCTGCCAAAGAGCCCAAGAGAGTAGAGAGAAGTCACTTTCCCTCCCCTTACAATCCAAACATCACCTGAGCTGTGAGATGGTTGATAAGGAAGAAAACTCCGTGCAGTAGCTGGCACTCTCTCCATATTTCCAGTGATAGCAGTGAGAACATTTCTATGTTGCTCCAACCCATGCAGCTAATAGGTGAAGGTAAAAAGATATTAACTCATTTATTTCTTGCCAGAAAATGCATGCTATTTGCTTCTGAGCTTGACGCCCTTCAAAATCATGCTATTTCCTCTTAAATTGAACACTCCAGTCTGGATAACCTCTCCTGGCTTTAGCAGTACCTCAGAAATTATTTTCTGGATGTCTCCTTTGGGTTTATGGGAGATGCTCCTCCCATGTTTATATCTATTATTGGGAGTAATGTATAGCATTATAAATTAGTATTTATACATTTCTCTATCTTGTTAGAGTTCCTTGGGGGACAGGTAGTACATGTCAATGCTTTGATGTCTACACAGATCGATAAATATTTGTTTTATAAAAAAGCTCTAATTAGGTAAATAAATGGATGAATAGATAGAATAATAAACAAACAGGGAATAATACCTTCGTTCTGGCTAAGAGGAATGCCAAACTCAACCTAGATTATCATTCTGGAGAGTCACAGAATCTCCATGGGTCAGCATTCAGTTTTGAGAAGAGCCTGGTGGCAAAATAATGGATTTTTATAAAAGGAGTATCCAGCAGAAAGTCCAACTCAAAGAGTGATTTGAAGTGGTGGTTCCTCCCCTTTTCCAGAAGTTCCAATTCAACTCCATCAACTTACAAAGAATTGTGGCTTACCTTGTCATGAATGTGATGGGACCGAAAGGTAAAGAGCATCCCGTAGCTTACTGAGAGCTTCCAACATCATTGATTAGCTTAGGCCTTTTTTAAATGATCTTGATTTTGGATGGCAGACAGAGTATACTGTCCAAGTGAGAGGATCTTCTCCCCACTATCTATAGAATTCAGTAAGATCCCGGACCACCTTTTTGATGGTTCAGGCTAAAAAGACAACAGGTTTTTTTCCCACTCTGGCAGGGAGTTCACTCACATTGCCCCTTAACTTTGTCAGAGTTTATGACCCACCCGCCACCTTGCTGAAGCTTCAAGTAATAGGATATAATCTTACAATAATAGCTCTGGACATCAAGAAGTAGACTCTTTAATAAGTAAATATTTACAGTAAATGGCAGGGTGTTTAGGTACTCAGGAAATACTGGATACACTGGGGACCTTGTTATATGAATGCACTGGAAACGTGTGCTAGTAGGATAGAAAAAACTATTAGACAAATAAAATTCCAAGTGCTGTCAGTATAGTGGATTTAATTGGCATTACAATGTCTGGCATAGCTAAGGGTATAGGATACACCAAGCAATAATCTACTGTAAGGCTCTAGCTCCCATTAACATTTTTACTGGCCATACCTGGCTGTTGTTTTAAAATATTGCCTCTTGTACTGCCTCTGCTACCTTTAGTTCCTTAAACAAGACTGTAATTTCCTTTTCTTGTAAAATTCTCCATTATTTCTACTGGACTAGCTGAGAGGAAAGGAGGAAGGAGTTTTGTTCTATTAGCATTTCTCTACATGTATCTTCTTTATCAAGAGAATCCTCTTTGGACTTTACAAGCATTTACAGTAAAATATTAATACCAATTATGCATTCAGCAGTTAAAGCCACAAAATAATTGTACATTGAATGGCCCCACAGAGCCTCATATACAAGGTCACTTTAGTTTCTCTACAGTGAATCATGTGCAAGCCCTGTGAGCTGAATCCTGGTGCCCCGATGCCCTGCCTCATAAACCAACCCCATGGGACAAGCTGAGTGTGATTTGAGCGTTTGTATACAACACAGCCATAGAGTTTAAGTCCTTCCTCTCCCAGAAGTTCTTTAGCAGTTTTGGATGGGTGTGTATGACCATGCTCCATTTTAGAATAGGCAAACTTTGGCTCCCCTCTTAATTATCTTTTTCTTTAATGCATCTGCAGTTTGTAAAAAGAAGAAAGGAGGGATCATGAAAAATGGAGGGCAAGATAGTTATTCAGGTATAAGCAAGGCACACTCACTTTGACTTTCAGTGTAGCAAAATGGACTTTTAATTTGCTAATTAAAGGCACCCCTCTTTAGGTTCAAAACATAAAAGAGCAAATCAAGGCCACCAGGCTGATCATATAACTCATGTGAATGCTCACAGTGACGGCCGGCTTTCTGGTGAGACTCACTGGATGCAAGGTGCATGCTGAGCTGCACTCTCACCTTTGCTGCCTGCATCTGTCTTCATACCAAACATAGTAGCACGTCCACCCTCAAAGGGAAGGACTCTCTGTCTCACACACAGTGGCTGACCTGGGCATCCTCTTTTGACTGAGCCCACCATTCCTTGTAGCCAGAGGAGAGCTCTCTGTTCTTCTATGTATGCATTTATTTACCTAATTTAACCGTTTATATTTTTCAGTCATCAAACACATTTTTATCCCTAGAGACTGAGACACAGTAATACCTTCAGTTTGTCTTCCAAAGAGCACTAACAAAGCAGAGAAATCGATGGATAGATAATTGATGACACAATGTGTTAACCACAGTGAGAGGTGTAAACTATGGGCAGAATGAAGCAGGACATCTACAACATATTGGAATCAGAGATTTTGGTTTCAGTTAATAGTGGCTGCACATTTCTCTCCTTGCACAACTAGTGCAGTCCATGTTTTTATGACTATTGCTAGAAAAGAGATGGAAACTTTTTACCTACAATGACTCTTAGGAGCTGAAGATGACTGGTGGATAGTTAAGAAAGTCCTGTCACCTACAAAAGACTTGGTAGAAATTATTTGGAAGTTGTCTTTGAGTATATTTCCTAGTACTTAACCTGAAACCCCTTCATGGATTTCTCATTAACAAGCATTAAGCTGAAAGACAATTACGACATAGTTGAACATAAAATGTTGTCAACATATTTGTTACCAATATTTAAGGATGTTATCCAAATCCTTTTCAGCATCCCACCGGTCCCTGATCCTCTCTCTTTCAGAAATTCCTCACTGTCAGTGCTCTCTTCTTGCCACTGTCAAGAGCTGCAAAAATCTAAGATTTTGTTTTCGTAAACCAAGAAGTCAGGCAGTCAGTTTCATAAATGCTGCCAAAAGACTTCTAGGATGAAGATAAAGGCCTTTATTACTTGAGACAATAACAGTAACCTGATTATCAACATTTCCAGTACATTTCTCAAGTCCCTTTTCCTGCAGGATCATGCAGAGATGGCCACGTGATGCATTCACATGCAATGAGTTCTATTAGGGGTTGTATTCTCTCAGTTCAGGGAATGTGTGTCTTTTATAATGGTCAGTAAGCAAACTTATTCTTCTTTCTTGAAGTAGACATTATTTCTATCATTCAAAGCTGTTGGTATAAAAAAAATCCCTGAAAAAATAGTTCAGCAAGAAGGCAGTCAGTGTCTCTGTGATGAAAGCTCTAAAAGTTACCATAAAGTAGAAATTCCCAGAAGCATGGGAACTTACATAAGATGAAATCAGCCCTCTGTCTTCATCTTCTTATTAACCATGCTCAACTTTTACCAGATCATCATTTTACTTTAGAATAGTCCAATTTCATCACTCCCTGGTGAAAAGCTTTGAAATTTAAAAACTTGCCTTTGAATAAATGTCCCATTTTATGTTTTCTCTTTGGGAGCAATGTAAAAATGGGTTAAGCAGTACATTCATATTCCATAACTGACATAAGCAACATCTAGTAATATTTATTCAGGTCTTAGGTAATGTAAGATACATGTTAAAAGTTTTAAAAACATCTAATTTACATTAAAGAATAAGTAAGAAGTATTGATTTTTTTTTTTAGTTTACAGGCTGCAGTGGGCCAAAGGAGAATGTTTCCTGTATTGAGAAAAATAAAGAAAATCAGTGTTTTGAGAATGAAACTGGTGAAAAGACAAGTGTAAGTGTTAGTGTGTTTTCTTTATTTCTGTTTAGTAGGCAAGATGTG